ACTTTAATCTAGATAGTTTTTCCCTCAAGACCATGCACCCATTACACAGCAAAAAATTCTGAATTTTAATTATCGCGTAAACTCTCCCTTCGGTTAATTTTGAGCTATACTTGGCATAAACAGCGGAATCGTTTACTAGCTTGCATACAATATTTCTTATTTATGCGATATTGCGCTTAAATTTACACGAAATATCGCGTAAATGTATGCCAAATCTAGCGTTAATTTTATGTGTGCTATAACTCGTAGAAATTTACATGAAATTTTCGAACGGTGTACTGGTGTGGCGGTGGTATGGTATGGCATCATACAACAAATATCATGCTGAAGACGTGTGGCGTGAGGATGACGATGATATTGGATGCCAGATTGATAGGAAATGCAACTAACATTCAATGTAATACATTTTTGGTTTGCGTGCATATATAAATTAAGTTTACCCAGATTGGACGTAACGCAGAAAAAACCAAAATATTGGTATATGGTTCATATTCAAAAAACTGGGTTTAATATTTACTCATATTTCACTTTTTTCGCTTAACGTCCAATCTGAGTAATCTCATAGCGCATTCGGCGTATTAAGAGTTCCCAATTTTCCCCGACCTACCACTAACTGACCGTTTGAACGCCTTTAGCAGCATCGTGTCCCTAATAAAATTTGAATGGTTATTTTGCTTAACGACTTGTTCGGGGTAACGGCGCCTGTGGTGTAGTGGTAAGCGTGATTACCTCTCACCCCAGCAGGCCTGGGTTCAATACCAGTCGGTGCCGCCGGGATGTTCTGAGGCATAACATTCTCTGATCACGCCTTCCTTCGGATGGGAAGTAAAGCCGTTGGTCCCCGGTTCATGAGTTGATGGGTCGATAGGTAGGGTCCAGGTGTGGGAGCTGCTTTCCTGGCACGTCGGTAGCATTCAATTGGTGCTCAGCACGGAAAACAAGATCGACAAAAAAAAAAACAAACCAAAGGAAAAAAAAAAAAAAACTTATTCGGGGTGTCATCCAAACCATGTGTGGAATAGTTCAATCATTCGGGTTATCATTCGTGCATGGTATTTTTTATTAGTGGTACCGTAAAACGGGGTACCTTTGATAGTTTTTTGGAGTTCATTCTAAATAATTTTAACAACAATGAATATTTTTCAAATTTTATTTTTTAAGGCAAGGGATCCTAGATTCAATTCTTTGGTAACATGTTTACCAGGAATTATTGAATTTGCACCATTGTTATTGTCTTGTGACTGAACATCAGTTTTTGTTTTGTTTTGGGGTTACTTATTATTATCGTATTATTACTCGATGAATGTAGAAAACCATGCGAGAATCTCAAATAATCATATATAATCAGAAACATCATAAGCAATAAAAAAAAAACAATATTAAATTTGTCATGACTTTATAGAAAATACAAATAATAAGTGATTTTTTGAGTGCCCGGGGAAATACAAGAAAAAATTGTTTTGCAGGTATTTGGAAAATATATAGAACATACTATAAAAAACTCTATACGGTATCAAAAGTAATACCCTGTGCTACAAAATGGAACCAATGTTTCCAATTCGTAAATAGTGCAGAACGTAAATTTAATCATTATATTCTACTATCAAAGTAACCCGCATTATCAAAGATATAGTTTTACGGTACTTATGACCAAGCATAATGTCTACCTCGACTCTCTTGATAAATAAATAAGTGCTTCATCATCGATTAATAGTGGTTCATAAAGTACACTCGACGTTCGGTAACAGATTAATGTTTACACATAGCAGCTGCATTCACTAACTGAAATGCATTTTATTTGTCTAACCAGTAATTTTCTTCTTAATTCCATCTGGAACCTTAAGCATCTTAATTAATCATTTACAAATGGGATCTTCATTTTGCGAATCCAGAATAATCCCAAGACTGAACAGCTGCTATTTGTTCACTAAAACTCCATCATGTAGAATGAAGCGCTTCTCGCTCAGCTAGTATGATCTTATGTCTTCAGCCAGAAAAAAAGGCTGCCGAAATAATTGTTATTTTTATTGTTAATTATGTTTTTTGGAGGGGGCATTGAGCCTGCTCGTCAGTGTAATGTTGACGACCAATTATACACCTTCCATGCAGCAATCAAACAGATAAAGATGAGATGGCTCTTAGATAATGACTTATGCGAGTCGATTGAAATCAGCCAAATATTAAATAAGGGTTAGGTTGATCCTTAACATAGAAGCGTAGATGCATAGGTGAAGGATGAGGGAAAGAAAAGGCAAAGGTGTTAAAATGAAGAATTAGATGTCGTCGAGATTGAATACGCATGTTTAAATAACGTTGATCCAGGTACCTATCGTACAAATTTGCATATCATATAGTTGTTATTATTGCCAATAATACTTACATTTCGAGAAAGATGATGCTACCTATTTTACCTTTTATGTGATACCTATCATCACAGAATCCAACCTTGAATCGTAGACCAGGTCCATTAACAATACACTCGTTCCGAGAAGGGGCTCATGGTACCACTCATCCTGTATAGTCATCTTTTTCTTCTTCAGGATCGCTTACCACCCGGAATGAACGCTCGGTGCGGTTCGTAATATCAAATAGTGCTACATGCAAACGAAAAAGAGATACAACCAGGATTAGTTTTTTAATGTAATAGTTTCATCTGAATACCCAACTAACCATATCTCAGTGACATTGTCTCACCCTAACATTTAAAGTTTAAATTCTACGGAAAACAACCGAGGGAAAAAGGATGCACTCACGGGAAACTACGAAGCGAACTAAACAGTAAGCGAATTGGTGTTGACGGCACCGTAGAAAATCATCTTATACCGTCAGAGATTGACAGATTCTTATGAGAATTTTCGCTTGAGTACGAGGATAGTACGATGTCCGCGATTTCGCACAGACGTTTTCTTATGGGATTTAACCATAGGAGTAAAGAGTAGAAAAATATCCAGATGGATTTCTAGTAAAGAGTTACAGAGCTGCGAACCACGATGGAAAATGACAGGTGGGCAGGAACTCACAGTCTCCCAGTGTTGGTGAGTTCTTTGCCGTTAATGTTCACGAAAAGTTCACTATTTTGCTATACAGAAATTCAAAACAAAAATTTTATCTGCGGATTTGAACAGTTTTTGACCTGTTTCATACTACCGGAAGGTGTATGCTGGTCACAAATGCCGTGCCAAACTGATTTCCTACTCAATTAATCAATCTTTGATGTGAAATTCGCTAATAAACACGAGGCGCATTTCGTATAGCAAACATGCCATAACAAAATGGGCATGGTTCATTTAAGTAAACAAACTAACACTTCTTCCGACTGTTACACCTATGTATTAGCCGTCTCGGCTGCGAACACACTCGAGTCGAGCTTAAGCCGACTCGAGTCATGCAGCCCGAGCATAATTTCGACCCGAGTCATGCAGATCGATCATCATGGTAACGTCTAACGTTGGTCTAACGCTAACATTTTTCCTTCTGGGAATCTACGAAGTATATCATAACAACGCTAACGCTAACGCTAACGCTAAAATCAGTTAGATCCTTACCAAGTGAAATAATTATGTATAAGCCAAGTATTAAACGCTAATATCACCAAACACTGTTGCTCGACTTTCAACAGTCCAAACGGTTCTCAGATGCCAGCCCAAGCTATTTTATAAAAAAAAATGTATTTTGCATTTATAACTGGACTTTTCAAAAGTGCGGAATTGCTACTAAAAGTACGTTTTTATGCTGTATCGTCTTGGAGCCGTTTGCCAATTTTTTCGTTATGACCCACAGAAAAAGTACGACGAAGACTCTGAATCGATTTAACGTAAATGTGTACAATGCGCTATAATATGACCGTTAGATATAGTTTTGAATTACAAATACAAACATTGTTATTAAATATGAACTTCAATTCAATGTGTATCTTTCTAAGAACTTCAATATGAAAGTTTTAAGCTCAAAATGAATAAAGGTGAATAACCTTTGAAGAATCTTAAAACTTAAGATTTTTTGATTGATTTAAAATGATACTTATTGAAAATTAAAACCCACAAATCAGTAAAGCTTATAACTGCTTTCATTAAACTAATAAGCAGTATTATTGCTGAAATTTGAGCTTACTATGGACTCACCTAATCTTGATTTCAGGTAATCATTACTTGAGTACCCAAGTAACCATCAAGTCCGTTAAGTTGCATTTTTTTGCAATATTAGTCTGATATACGGTTAACAAAGAACCTCCAAGCCTCTATATTAGCCGTATGTCAGCCTTATAATTAACGGACTTCCCAAGCAACACCTCATTTTTACAACAGTTTATATTGTCTTTGTATGACTGGTTTTAGTTTTAAAGAAGTTGACGCAATATAATTCCATGAATATGTGTTACTTGGGTATAACGTGTACAAAACGCTAATAAACCACCGGCAGTTCTCTACAGACCCAAAAAATGGACGAGGAGACCCCCCTCGTGGACGATGCTCAAGAAGGAGCTGCAAGCAGGCATGGCAAATCATTTATATTCATTATTTGCCTCTTACTTTTTCCATGAAGACAGTTAAATGATCTTTGAAGCTATGGTTAGTTTTGATATTAGCTACAACTTTTGTCAAAAACTCAAATCTGTACCTCTTATGCATTACAAACTAGAGTGGGCAGAGCTTGTTATTTGCATTCACTGAAAAAGCATGGTGGGCTCTGTTCACTTTGGTTCATCATGTATAAGAGATACAGATTTGAGTTGTTTACAAAAGTTGTTGTTAATAACAAAACCTACAAAAACTCTTTGCACCATTTTACGGAATTCTGTTGATGAAAAAAGTTGGAGGCAAATGAATGTAAATGAATCCACGAAATTAATGTAAATGATTTGTCATGCCTGGCTGCAAACACTGGAAAATCTCGAACGGCAGGTTCATAGGACCATAGGACCAAAAAACCAACGCTCTAATGATTAAACAAAGTTTTGATCTTCGTAAACCACGTTCAATACTTTATTTCAATTTCATTCCCCTTATATGTAAATAGAACAAAGCTAAACTATGGATGAAGCAAAATTATGTATTTAAATGCCGTTGGCTGAAATCCGTACACCTAAGAACACCTAATTTGTGCATTGAATATATTTTATCAGATGTACGAATTTCAGTGCCGTACAAAAACCAGAGTGACCAGATTTTTTTTTTTCAATAAACTTCAGTACAATCAATCTATTTGATACGTTCCATTACTGTTTCCGATGGATGTTCCGATGCCAGTTCTCCTGTCTGCTGAATGGGAACGTTCCGTTCCGGATTCGGAAGAAACTCTTCTTTCTTCGGTGCCGTGACAGTCAGCACTCCGTCAGACGAGAGCGTCGAGACGACGTCGTTGGGATCGTGACCCTCTGTTTGAAATGAATGAAAAACATATCAATACAACTTCAACTCAATACTCGGTGCCAACATTTCATTAGGGCAAAACTGCTTTTGTAATCTGTGACTTCAAACGGCGATGTTGGGCTCATAAAAGCTCACCCCAGAAAATTAACGATTCCAGTTGGTAGAGGAACAATTCCTCTGGTGTCGTTACTTTGCAAGCGTGAGCTTTTAATCGCGAGAAATCAAAGGCTAAAACCATTAGGTCTGTTCCGGTACTTCCTTTTTTGCTTTTTTTCTGTAGGATGCTGCAGCTTTCTGTAAGTTGCTGTAAGAAAATAGTATGGTACAGGAACATACTTTTGCTGCACATAATATTACAGAAAAGCAAGTACGGAAACAGACCTATTGTCAACAAAAGCTACTTCGTCCTTTTGAAATGTTTATGAAAAATAATTCTGCATGAATAATTGTTTTTTTTTTTTGGAGTACGCCCGCATTCATACCTGGTAAAGCGTAGCGACGGGTGAAATGGCGCGAAACGTAACCATGTTCGTCCCGTTTTTCCTCGTGCTTTCCTTGAACGATGATGTACTTTTCGGCGGTTCTGACTGTGATCTCTTCCGGGGCAAACTGCTGCACATCTAAGATGATTTGGAACGCATCCTTGCCGATTTTCAGGGTCGAAGTGGAGTGCTCCCTTTCCAAGGCGGGATTTCGCCATGGGCGATAGTAGCTTGAATGCAGTGGAAAGGTTGGTGTTTGTTTGACAAGGTCATGGGCACTGTGAAGTAAAACGGGTGAAGTCCATCGTTAATAACACTAGTTTACAGCATATTTGAACATTGTACGCTGATAGTCATATCCCATGTAAAATCGTACACTGTATGAAAATGTAATCCAAAAAATCTCAGTAGGAGAGTTTTCAAAATATAGCTATAAAATGAAATTTCACTTTTAATTTTTTTTTCTTTTGATCGTTTAAAACCTATTTTGAATGAGATTAATGGTACAACCACTACAAACATTTTTATTTACACTGCTTAAAAACTTAGCAGAAATTGAATTTTTCTTAGAAAAATGCAAAATATTAAAAAAAAAACTAATAACGTAGAGAACTACTTCGGCCTAATCACCTATTTTGGGCCTATCGAGCAGAAAACTTCAAACAAATCCATGATTTCAGAATTAATAAGTCAATAATGCGTTTGGTACTATACTTTAGTTAATAAGCTACGGAACGAAGTCAATGAGAACGCGTGATATGAAGGTTTGCACCCATTATTCTTAAAAACAAAAGAAGCAATCCGACCGAATCAATTTTTATCTTCATCCGATAGGCCTAAGTGAATTCATTGGCGTTTCAATTGCGTTTCAATGCGTTAGGCTGAGTTTAGAATCCGTAGCGGCCTAGTTTGGCGTCAAGAAGCAGTGTTAGACTTTTGACAATATCTCAACGATTGGTTTCTTTTTATCAAATCTTACGGTACGTACGGAAAGGTAAATACATTTGGAAGCTATCAGTAATAATAACATTCCGTTGGGTGCTAAACTGCGCTAGATTAAGAAAGACTAAGTGCGGGTTGTGCTTTATAGGCTGAAAATGGGGTAATTAACCCTAATTAACAACAATACCACTAATAATACTGACAATTGATGTTCAGTTGATCGAAATCGAAAATCTTACCTTTAATGGTGTTAAAATAATTGATATAGTCTTATTATAAACGGTGATATTTGTATTTTAGTAAACATACTTTTTAAAGTGAATTTTCAATTTTTAGCTGTACCTCGAAAACTGAGCTTTTTTTGACTACATTTTTTGAATTCAGCGCGTGATTTTACATAAGAATCATTGATCAAAGATTCAAGTTAATTTTTTACTAAAACTAGTGTATCATTCGAGATTCTTAAGTTTGATGAATTAACTATTTCAGATATTGATTCGTGTTATTATTGTCAACGGTCTTATGACAAATGGCCGAATGACGAATGGCCGCATGACGAATGGCCAAATGGACGAATGGTCAAAAGGACGAATGGCCGAAAGGACAAATGGCTGAATTGAAGAATGGCCTAAAGGACGAATGGCCGAAAGGACGAATGACCGAAAGGACGAATGGCCTAAAGGACGAATGGCCGAAAGGACGAATGACCGAAAGGACGAATGGCCGACAAGACGAATGGCCGAATAGACAAATGGCCTAACGGAAAAATGGCCGAATGGACAAATGGCCTAATAGACAAATGGCCTAATGGACAAATGGCCAAATGAACGAGACAGAACCGAATGGCATAGTTCTGGTTGATATATCTTTGTATTTCGAAGGAATAGTTCCTATGATGTCTTATGACCCCCTCTAACGCCCAAATTTTTGTTTTGATTCTACATACTTTCTTTCGAACTACCTTCAAGTCAATATGGAGTTCTGTAGTTTATTTGAGTTTATTTGATATGAATAATACAATTTGAAAGAATAGTTCATGTTTAAAAGAAGGAAAGATCTCTATTAAACATTGAAGAACAGCTCATATTTGAAAGAAGGAAATATCGCTGTTAAAAATATTGATTTACGAAGCACCAAAAATCACTACAAAAATATGTTTAGGAAGAATAGAAGATTCATCTACTTCTGCCACTTTCAACCAGACGGTTGTTCATCTCAGTTTTAACTGATATGTGTGTGACGGGGTACCCGGGTACCTTCCTCCCATTTAAATAACACGGTGTAGAAAAAAAGCAAAAAATTCTTCACGCACGAACAGGGATGGAAAATCATTTACATTCATTTCGTGCATTCATTTACATTCATTTGCCTCTAACTTTTTTTTGTCAACATTATACCGTTAAATGATGTATGAAGCTTTTGTAGCTTTTGATATTAACTACAACTTTTGTTTAAAATTAAAATCTGAATAACTTATGTATGACAAAATAGATCTGCCAGAACATGTTATTGTTTTTCAGCGAATGCAATTTACATTCACTGAAAAACAATGCTAGGTTCTTTTCGCTCTGATTCATCACGCATAAGAGATACAGATTTGAGTTCTTTACAAAAGATGTAGCTTATATCAAAGCCTACAAAAGCTTTAATCACTATTTTATGGAATTCTGTGGATGAAAAAAGTTAGAGGCAAATGAATGTAAATGAATGCACGAAATGAATATCAATGATTTTCCATCCCTGCGCACGAAAAGGTTAAAGGTGAAAAATCTCATGAATAACTGCAGCGTCAATAAATATGCTACACTATAACTCGAAATAACAGCTCATGTTTAAAAGAAGGAAATATCTCTTTAAAAATATTAATTCGAAAGCGCTAAAAATCACTACAAACAAAATAATTTTGGCAGAACAGGTCATGTTTAAAAGAAGGAATAATCTCTATTTAAAAATATATTTTATTTATTTATTAAGATCTAAGATTATATCTTTAAGTTGCTGTTAAGACCGTTTCCTAATTAAATGATCTGAGTGCTCATTTGGGCAACATTTAAATCAAATAGACGATATATTTTTTTTTTTTAATTGTCATGTTGATTAAAGGGATTAATTCCATTCGGCCATTTGTCCTGAGACCTTTTAAACATTTTTCTTCTAACTCCCAACAGGAACTAAACTCCTGCTTGAATGACATGAGCTGTATTCATTCAGCACTGTAGAGATGCTCCCTAAATATGATCAGCAACCCGAAAAAAAAATCCCTGGATTTGTTTTTCCGTCGATATTGTTTTCCATACTGCTACCGATTCCAGGGAGGCAGCTCTCACATCTGGCCCCTAGCTATGGACCCATCAACTCATGGACCGGGGATGAACGGCTTTACTTCCCTTCCGAAGGAAGGCATGATCAGAGATTTTATGCCTCATAAAAAGCCGACGGCGCCGACTGGGATTGAACCCAGGCCTTCTGAGGTGATAGGCAATCACGCTTACTACTACATCACCAATGCCGCTCTGAAAAATATTCAATTTCCATGATTGTCTTTAACCTTTGCGTACCCACGCATTTTCCTCTTAAAATGTAGATATTGCTACCGTTTCGTCATTTATTGACCGTTTAAAAATTAAATAACTTACAGTCGACCAGGAATTGGTTTTTGTTTAAAATTTTATAACGGTTGAGTATAATTTTGGCTGAGTTTAAAAAATATTTTGAAAACGCGTGAGGTCATATTCATTTTTTAAGTAATTCTGATCCCTAGACCTGTTTAATTAATTTTAAAATTCAAATAAAATCGCACAGCCTTTTATAACTCTTAAGCTAGAAGCAATTCTCGATTGATTTGAAGCTGTTTCATCAAAATCGGTTAAGAAGGGACAAAATAGGAGCAATATCTATTTATTATTGCTTATTTGCTTTGTTTAACACATTTTAGGTCATGTCTCATGTCAGCATGAGAAGCACTTACTTCAGTTAAATATTATGAATGCAAAATCTGTAATCAAATTGATTTCACCGAAAGCATGACTAGTTTTCCGTGTGATTCAACAGTGTGAAAATGTGTTCTCATTTTTGCTGCGTCAACTGTTAAATCAACCGAAACGAGATCAACTGAAGTGTTCAAAATAAGTTACATCATAACAGCAAATTTTGATTTCAATTTGATATCCAGCTTTGCTAGGGATAGGTAGGTTGGGTGCGCGTGTGAATACATGTGTGCTATGCTGCACTGAGGGTGGGTCATTAAAGCATAAATTCCATTAGGCCGAAAAAGCCAAAAAAAATGACCCTAAAATCATTCAAAGCAAGCAAAGTAGTGCTGTATAGTTGATCTTTACCCTCTGAAAACTGCCCATAGTTCAAAGAAGGAGAAATATTTACAAGCCCCACAATCTTCAGAAAAATTTCTGAAATGATTTTGATGAAGATGAATTTACAAAAAATGTTCAAAGCCTTAGGATCTCACAAAATTATCAACATGGTACCTTCCCATTTTTGGCAACCCGACCCCACAGTTTTGTACCAGAGTTTATTCAAAGATATCGGGTCCTTTAAGATACCTAAATAATAGATAAGTTTAGACCGAGGTTGGGCTTGAGGTTCAATTGATTTTTTAGAAAGCAGATAATACAAAAATCACATGTTGCCATAATCGGGTTGGAACTGTTTCTAGGATTCGTGAATTTTGTCTTAGTCTAACAATCTTGGAACTGTCAAAAAATATTCCGATGTTTATTTTTTTCTATGTGCCAAAATTTGAAAAAAAAATTCAAATCTCAAAAAAAAATTTCCATAATCTGAAATTTGAGACATAAGAAAATGCTTAAAATTCTGTTATCCTGCCAATTTTTGTAGTACTGAATACTGAAATATCTAGATGAATATTTCAAAATAACCGTTCTCGTTTAATGATAACTCAGCTGCAAAAACTAACATTGTTGTGGTTGACATTTTGGACGCTAGAGACAAATCTCATTTATTTGACTATGGCGAAAATGGCACGAAATCTGTTTGCTTAGTCGCTGTAATCCAAAGAGAAAGTCGATGAAGAGAATCGAGTAAAGCAGGTAGGATCTTTTGAAATGTTGATCTAAAGCTCGATTCAAAGTAAATCTGGACGCACGGTTTAATACACCACCACGCCCCTGGTGGTTGGAGCAAAAAACGTTTGACAGGCATTTGTTTATGTTTTATTGACGAAGAATTTGGTGAAAAGTTTTTCTCGATTGATCGACGCATCCCGAAATTACGGATCATGGAACTTGTGAAAAGAGAATTAATTGTGCACAAACATCTAGAGAACCCTTCGTGGTCTGCCTTAAAAAATAGCAAAAGTGTTAAACTTCCCAAAGTCTACGGTGAGTCTTGTAATCAAACGTTAAAAGGATACTCTGAGTGTGGATAGAGCATAGCGCATCTACCATAAAAGTGGCACTAGGAACAAAGAGCTGAGGAGAAGGGTGTTGAGGTACGTGAAAAACAACCCAGGTATCTCCATACGTTGTTTGGCAAAGAAATACGATTCCAACTTTTCCACCGTGCGTAACATCCCTTCAAGAGAAGGTTATAAGTCTTTTTGTGCCAGTAAACATCCGAATCGGTCCCTGAAACAAAATTTAGTGGCCAAAAAGCGAGCACGATTACTATACGAACGAGTTTTGACGAAATTTGATGGCTGTATTTTAATGGATGACGAAACAAATGTCAAAATGGATTATAAACAAATCCCCGGACGAAAATGTTACCTGGCAACTGTTCGTGGGGATGTCCCTTCCAGGTATAAATTTGTTTTTGCTGATAAGTTTGCTCAGAAACTAATGATTTGGCAAGGAATCTGCAGTTGTGGCCTTAAAACCAAGTTTTTCATCACATCTCACACAATGACGTCGAAGGTTTGCATTAAAGAGTGTCTGAAACAGCGGATTTTACCCTTAATTCGGCAACACAAGACCAAAGTTATGTTTTGGCCGGATCCAGCCAGCTGCCACTACTCTAAGGAGGTACTAGAATGGTATGCTACAAACAATGTTAATTTCTTCGCTAAAGAAATTAATCCTCCGAATTGCCCTGAGTTCAGATCGATCGAAAAATATTGAGTAATTGTCAACCGAAAACTTCGAGGATGCGGTAAAGAAGTGACAAATGCACAACAAATGCGTTTAAAGTGGAATATGTTGGCCGGTACAGTGTCACCAGCGACTGTGCAGATCATGATGGCATCAATCACAAGTAAAGTGCGACAGTTCGTTCGAAACGGTGAAATGTAATAACTTGTTATATATCGTTTGAAAGCTGGATAAATACCGATTTGTTTAACGTTTTGATCAATCGTGTATGTTGTTTAATTCTTGAGTTAAGACCACTTGAATGCGTTCAAATTTACTTTGAATCGGGCTTTAGATATATCATATCGAAATTTTTACCAAGGATAAGGTGTCACGGAATTTTTCAAAACAAAAGCCTTGAATCTTTGAGATTTTTCTTGACCGAAGTTTTGCAAAAATATCCAATTCCAAGAGCATCGGAAACTATCAAAGCCACTGATATGTATATGTATATATTTTTCAAAAGCACAGAATCTTGAAAATAAACCAAACCCTGGATCATTAAAAATAAATTGAAGCTTCAGAAAATTATTATTAAGAACAAATTCACACATAATCCTACAATATCTCACCGCAATCCTGTGCCAAAATGCTGATCCAGCAAACGGGATGAACGAAATGGAGTGTCGTGCTCATCCCACCAGTCACGATACGAAATGGGAACCACAGACATCTGTAATAACGAAAGATTTCATCACAGTAAAGCATCATAAGTTAATTAAGAATAGAAGATGTTTGCTACATATTTTCACTTGTCCATCACTGGGCTACAATCAAATAACGTACAGTCATGAACTTGTTGGCACAATTATCTTCATTGTTTTTCACATGACCTCACAAATGGACCTGTTTTTCACATGTTCTTAAATTTCACCACTCGATGGCTTTTGCAGAAATATAATTGAATCTTCCATTAGGTACTCATATCTCACCTTTGTATTTTTTTACGTTTTCAAATGTTACTAAAACCAAACAATTTAGCTACGCAGCTTCTCTGATTCACACTTTAATGTTGCAGGTCAAACTGAAGTGCAGCACAGGCGGCGAGTGGCTTTTATAAGTTTTCCCCCTCAGAATTTTCGAGACTTACTCCCTAAATTTGTTTATCTTGCAGCATACTAATGGTTTTGTTCTACGTTTTATTCAATTTTTACCGAACGAAACCTATTCCTAATGCGGGATCTGCCCTTTCACTTCCACTACGAAACTCAATGCATCATCACGAGCGCGTGAGAGTATACACGCAGTGGTCACGCATTGGGCATTTGTTTACCAGCATGAAACGTTTACGTTCTATTTTAATATCAATCAACAAAGTCCTGTGAAGGACGATTCCAAGGGTGAAAAAGTAGAAGTTTTACCTTCGGATTTCCTAAAATCATCTGTTATTTTAAAATTTAAACTCATCAAAAATCGTGATAGCGTCCCTCGGAACGATCGATGCCTTGTTTCAGAGATCAATGAACTTCACCCTAAATTAATATCTCTCGAAAGTTAATAATAGTTTGGAAGTTTTATTTTAGGGGAGAAACAGAGAAACATCAAACTATAACTACCTACCGTTGCACTGGGAAGTGTGACCGTCGTCGATATATAGGGGAAATGACTCTGATGTTGCCCTATGGATCTAAAGATTGGTCTCATCGATAAAAAATCTCCTGTTCTTCATTTTTCTTCCTGGATGCTATCGAAAAATTGGCTAAAAATGCTTTCCTTCGAAATGTATGTAGAGGGCACATCTACTAGGGACACTTGGGCCGACATAAGGGGTATTAACCCTATATACATAAAACAAGAAGACGAAAATGCAGCGGTGCATGAAAAAAGCATAAATAGATCCGGTGAATGGTTTGTGTTCGGTGGGTGACGATGTGTCTGGATTGTGTCAGATTGTAGTTAACGAAAGTAGTATATAGGGGAAATGTAGGTAATGTCGGCCTAAATGTCCCTAATTTGGGCCCATACATAAATTCAGCAATCGACTAAATTTTCAATAGCGATCAAAAATATCCATTAGTACCGTCCCAATGACGCGTTCATGTAGATAAAATTGATAAATAGCAGATTTTTAGCGATGGGCCCAATATTAGATCCATAGGCCAACATTAGAGCCATTTCCTCTACATATTTAGACCACAAAAACGTCAGAATTTTGGAAAACGTTTAGCCAAGTCTCAACTATGACAACTATATCGTAATGTGATTCTGAGACTGCTGGAAAAATCATCAATATTTGCACACAGCTCGCACGTTCTGATAGTAGGTCATCAATTTCCTATATCGTGCTGTTTGCTTGGTTGTTACCAAGGTGAGTACATATAGGTGTTCTACTGAGTTAAATTCATGAAAACTGCTGCATCACTATGGTTGTTACTAGAGAGGATCAGGTATAAGAGAGGAGTGGATTCAAAACAAACTGCTATGGCAACCTATACCTAGTCAGTTTCAAGCAACACTACGAATGCAATCAAAATAGGCGCTGCTCGATTGGCTCGGAATTTAACAGTTCGTTTGGCTAAAAATCAGCCAGTCCGCTCCTCTCTTATTCTAGACCACCTCTAGTTATTCCATCAAGAATAATATCAGACGACGACGTACGGAGGAAGCACAATTCTGCTCGGAGATTGATTCGACTAGTGCAGAAGAGTAATCTTGATTAAGGTCCGTTTAGACTATCTGATTTCTTGGCCTGATTTTGACCGCTGCCATAGTGGAAAATCCGCTCGAATTTACTTTCGACACATTTTGTCGAACCCCCCTGTTTGCTGGTGTTCACACTGCTTGCACATGTCGAAAGAATTGTCAATTTAGATTTAAAAACAAAATTGTATCCGGTATCAAAAGTAAATGCTTCCACAATGAATTACCGGAAAATTGCTCTAGCTTTGGCAGGCGTATTTGCTTTTAATATTTTAAATAAAATGAAGGTGAACTTTGAGGCGTAGGAAATGGTTGCTCAGGAGGAACACCGGCAGGGATCTGGCTCATCTTGTCCTTCAAGAACTGCGATGTTAAGACGAAAAAGGATTTCAAAACTTTGTCAGGATGTCGATACCAACTTTCGACAAGCTAGTGGGAAAAGTTCTCTATAGAATTTTGAAAATTTCTGTTAAGATCTCAATTCTGCGTAGTTCTCTGAAGACGTTCGGACGTCCTTGAAGTTTTATTTCTGTTCTGTGGTAAAACATCTTTGAAGATCAACAAACTTTCCTGAAGATCTGCAAATTTCTCGGTAGTTCTGCAGATTTCTTAGAAGTCCTGTGTGTTCTTTAGAAGATCTGCGAATTTCTCTAAAAGTTTACAAAGTTCCTGAATCCATGCAGATTAAAGATCCTTAAATATCAACAATTATCTCTGATGATCACTAAATGTCTAATAATCTACGAATTTCTCGAAAGTTATATAATCTTCTCTGTAGATTATCCTGATCCAATTAATATCTGTAAACATCTCTGAACATCTACGCAATTCCCTTAAGTATAAAAAATTATCTAAAAATTTTTGAGCTTACAGGAAATTCAAAGAAGTTCTCTGTGGGTCTACTATTTTTTCTGATGTTGTGATGTTGTGATCTATAAAGATCAGCGAACTTCCCAGAAGTTCTGTGAACTTAACTTGAAATCCATGAACCTCAATAAAATTCTGCAGATTTTTCAGTAGATCTTCTCTAAAGCTCTGTACATTTCTTTGTGGATTCTTGGACTTCCATAAAGCTCTGCAGATTTATCTGAAATTCTTTCAAATTCCTTAAAGCTCTACAAATTATCTGAAAATATTTGAATTTTTCAGAAGTTGTGTAAACAACAGAACAACAGCAGTTCTTTGAGTTTTACTGAAGTTTCGCTTTTTTTTCTAAAAATGTACGAACTTCCTGAAGTTAACAGACTTCTCTTAAGGTCTACGGACTTTTCTGAAGTTCTTCAGATCTATCTATTTCCAACTTCCATTAAGTTCTGCAAAATCTTGGACTTTCGTACTTCGCTGAGGTTTGTTTTTGGAATTGAAGTACTTTTCTGAAATACTGAATCACTGAATGTCTCTGAAGATCTGTAAAATTCCTTGCAGTTCTACAGATTTCTTTAAATATCTACTCTCCTGAAGTTCGACAAATACGTTTAAAGTTCTGGAAAGTTGTCTGATAATCCGTAGTTTTATTCTCAAGATCTACGAATTACCTTGAAGCTCAACACATTTCTCAGTAGATCTGCAAACTTGTCTTAAGATTTGTAAATTCCTCTGTAGGCTCTCGGGCTACCCTTAACATCTGAAAATTTCCCTGAAGATCTTCTAAATTACCTAAAGTTCTCAAAATTTATCTGAAAATAGTTGAACTTGAAGTTTTAAATGTTTCTCTCAAGATCTACAAATTTCCTTGAAATCGTATAAATATTTGTTTAAGTCGCTGAACTTCCCTGAAGTTCTGCAAATTTCACTGAAGATACTTTAAAATTTCTGACATTCTAAAAATGCATCAGAAAAGCTGCACTCTTTCTTGAAGGTCTAAAAATGTATCTGAGGATCTATGACATTCTTGTGATTTTTCCAAAGTTTTGTAGCTTTGATCTGAAAATATAGGAACTTTTCTGATGTGCAATAATTCTCCATTAGATCTCCAAACTTCTGTGTTACTCTTTATATTTCACTGTAGATTCTTGGACTTTTCTGAAGGTCTGCGAAGTTCCCTGAATATATACCAAAATTTCCCATATAGTTTTACAAATTGATCTGAAAATATTTAAGCTTGCTTGAAGTTTTAAAAATTTCTTTGAACATTTTTCTGCAGTTCTAGGATCTCTTTTGTGAATTTTTATGAATTTCTGCAAATTTCTTTTAATTTCTGTAAAATTTAATGAAGTTTTGTAGTTCTTTTCTCAAGATCTACGAACAACCCTGAAGCTCAACAAATTTCTCAGTAGATCTCCAAATCTCTCCGAAGGTCTAAAAAATCTTAGTAGGCTCTCGGACCTGCTGTCTGGCATGTTTATTCTTATATAATACATACTTCGTATTATATAAACACTGTTTTGTTGGCAGCCAAACACACTGGAAAATAAAAATCAGTCAAATTATACACATTGAATAGTGAAATCGGTTTACCTTGCTGCTGGATGTCATCGAAACACAAATCAAAGCCATACAATTTTAGAAGAAAAAAATATATTTTTTGTTTTTCATTTCACTTGCGGCTATTTTGCTGAATGAGTCGAATGAAAATTAACCACAAACCTATTACGTTCGACAAATCAAACGTCAAATCTAATCATCATGTCGAAAATGTGTGAACGCATTCGAACATTGCATCCGACAAAATTATCGAGCAGTCCGCTCGAATCAGACCAACAAATCAGATAGTCTAAACGTACCTTTAGAAGGGACAATTGATCACTGGGTTAAAGTCCCTCACATAAAAAAAACAACAGCAAGCACTGACACAAAGTTGAACGTTACACCAACCAACTAGCAACTAGTTTCAATCGGTAATTGTTGATAAAATCCTGCTACGACACTACGATGTAGTCTCATCAGATCAATCGACGGGTTCAGCAGACTCTAACCTTGTCAGAGATAGTTGAGTAAGGTTGAAGGAGGGACCGGTATTCAAACACGGGAAAAATTCGTTCCGAAATTCGTCAACCTGCAGTCACGATTTTCTAAACAAGTAAATTTTTCGTTTATGAAAGTACACCATGAAAAAAATCCTGAAATCGTGAACATTGTTCCACAAAATAAACGTAACGGCTGCAAAGGCAACAAAAGTCATAGAATCGTGAACTCTGTTCGGAAAATCATGATCTAGTTCTGGCAAACGTGATTTATGTTCATGCGTTGTGATTGATACCGTGAGCCTTGTTCTCGAAAACGGGAACATGGTTCATGGACTGTAAAATGTCAACTTCATTATAATTACCAATATTTTAAATGGAGTGAGGAAGTGGAATGAAAACAACGGAAGCCTTGATGCAGGTTTTACCCGCATCCCATACTGGCAGCAGGTATCTGTTCAGCAGATGGAATGAACACACTTTCAGCCGAGTTTTCAGCTCAAAAAATCAACACCACTTTCGACTTCCATCGGCCGAGAGAAAGAACACCGGATGCGTTCGGGGATTCTTTTTCGTCGAGGACGGCCAGTTTGATGACATGTACCAGCCACTGCCATTGTGCCGGACCACCATTCTGATGATACGGCCCAGCTCACTCACTAATAATCGAGACACTATTCTCCACGGATCCGAGCACTCTATGAGGATAAAATCAACAACAACTGAAAATGACAGCAGCAGCCTTGCATGTGATCCAAGTTCACGATTTCAGGAACGAAAATCACACTCATGGGTTCATGGATCACGAAATCATGATTTTATTTTGTGTTTTCTGTAGCGTTATGAAATCGATGGTCGCACTGAACAGACGTGACTTAAGTTCATGGATTTCTGATTTATTTCATGAAAATGTTATTTACTCGATCACGTTTACGGGAACTAAGTCATGAATTCAAACGAACTAGCAGTTCATGCTTTCGTGATTTGTTGTTCACGAATACCGGAACAATTTTTTTGTGTGTATACACTCTGAAAGGACATATTATCAATAAAGCATTATCTGAACCAGCCTAGACAACTGGACCTATTGAAAAGATCATTGTCTTATTGCTGTGACCAATCAACTTTTGTCATTTGTCTTGTTTGTTGTTTACTTTCAAATAATGATAAAATCGATAGTAAGATTTTGAAGCCATACTCATAATTGGTTTTAATAAAAATGCTAAAGTTTTTTATTAATCATTTCTATGTAAAAATTAGCGTTTTTGAATTCATTCAAATAATACAGTGGGAGCATTTATCGAAAACTTACCAATACTTCTTCTTCTTCGCATTTCAAGCTTATTGCAGTTCGCATATTAGCTTATTGCGTGCTCTCAACTTAGTGTTCTAGGTGCACTTCCACAGTTATTAATTGAGAGCTTTCGATGCCTGTACCATTTTTGCATTGGTTTAATTGTGTGGCAAGTCCAATCATACTTCTATGCCCAGGGAAGTCGAGAAATTTTCCAACCCGAAAAATTCCTAGACCGGACCGGGAATTGAACCCAGCCACCTCCAGCATGGTCTTGCTTTGTAGCTGCGCCTTTACCGACTTAGCTAAGGGCGGCAATAATAATAATCAAATTGTAATTATTTCTCGTAATAATACGTTTAACGCTTACCATCCTCTTCAAACTCATTACATGACATTGAAATTCATCTGCCTGTGCAGCCAATTAAAAACTCAGCGCACACAATTCGACACGTTCGACATTAAGACAATTCAGCATCATTACTGTGTACTCAAATTTAGACTGTTACTCACAATCAATTTACTATTTTAGCACATCGAGGAGACACAATATTGTTTTTGCCTCCCACAATATACTCTACTATAGAGAACGACTCACAGCAGAAAAAATGGAATATAATCCTCTCCATGTGCATGATGTAACACATCATTCCACAACTTTCTATAGGAAATCACTCAATTAAGCCTCAATTGATGGATAGGTATAGCTCAGCCGGTAAACCTTTCGGCTGTCGTGTGATTAAACATCACGAAAATTCTATACCAACAAACCAGAATGAATGAATATTCGACCACCTATTGCGCATGTCCGTACACAGTTTCGAATTTATTCGCATCTAATATATAAAAGCAAGTACCCAGCAGAACAGCACAGTCAACAGCCAGAACGGAAGCAAACGCCGAAAAGTAAATTTAAAGACCAAGTCGAAACAGTGAAGCTACCATTCCATTGCAACTATAAAGTGATAGTTTTTATTGAAACAAAAAATCAAAGAGTGTTGGGAAAAATGTCTCTAGTGCCAATCTTCTTCCGTGACTGGTGGGACGATGGCTGGTGGAATGGACCGTTGCGCACCTCGCGCCTATTGGATCAACGCTTTGGCAGTGGAATTTTCAACGATGACCTCTTCCGATCAATGTCCTGCTGCCACCCGCAAGAATTGAGACGACTAGGATTCGGAAGACCGTGGGCCAATCTCAGCCAGCAGTTGGGATCGACCGTGGCAGATAAGGATAAGTTTCAGATCAATCTCGATGTGCAGCAATTTACTCCGAGTGAGATCACCGTTAAAACCGTCGACAATACGATTGTGGTGGAAGGAAAGCACGAAGAAAAACAGGATGAACATGGTTTCATTTCGAGGCATTTCGTGAGGCGTTATGTGCTACCAGGTAGGATTCGTGATTAAAGGTTGGCTCTCGTGACGAACACAAGAACTATAGCGACATGATGATGGTTTCAAAATTCCTTCACGGAATAGATATGGGAGAGAATTTTTTAAATGCATGTATTCTTTCATCATCTTCTACTTCTTCTTCTTCTTATTCTTCTTCTTATTCTTCACATTTTAATATTATTTAACGCGTACATCGGGTAGCCCTTGAAAATTTTCCCCCGTAGTGACAACCAAATTTAATTAAAATGCTTGGTTAAAAAATACAAGCAATTTAAAAATCCTCACCGTTAAGGAATTATGAAACCATCATCAAGCTGATAGCTCATGCTTTCGCCACTAGGGTCAACTTTTGACTCCATCTGGCATTCAGAGTTTTTTCGTGGAATTATGATTCTGATAAATGATCTACGTTTCAATTTTCAGACGAACATGACCCAAAAAATGTCTTTTCGAGCCTTTCCTCGGACGGAGTTCTGACAATCACGGCTCCCAAGAAAGCACTTCCACCAGCACCAGCTGCCATCGAGAGGATCGTTCCAATCACCAAGACGGAAGAAAGTTCAAAATAGAATGCTTGTGAATAACGTTTGTACCTACCTGATATTGAAAATGTGATTATTTATTGATTATGAATGGGAAGGTCCACATAATAATTTTTGCTAATAAAACAAAGAGTTTAACTAATAACTAGTAGTTTGAGTACAGTGGAAACGACTCATCCTCTTTTTTTCCCTTGATTTGTTTTACGTGGATCTTGTTTTTCGTGCTGAGCACCAATGCTACCGACGCCAGTGAGGCAGCTTCCACACCTGGACCCTACATGCCTCAGAACATCCCGGCGGCGCCGACTGGGATTGAATCCAGGCCTGCTGGGGTGAGAGGTTATCACGCTTACCACTACACCACCGGCGCCGCTGACGACTCATCCTCATCTGCATGTAATTTATTCACAAATATTCATAGGGTAGAGCACTACTCCGGCATATGCGCCCATTTCCGTCATACCGAGCAGAATCATAAAAAATATAAATGATTTCAATGATACGTTTGGTACGGTAGGGCAAGTGAGCCGGTTTTGGTTCTTGTTCCAGTTATTGGTCATAGTGGATAAATCATTAAAATGTACTATGCTATAGAAACAAAGGTCTATGAATGGTTATAATTTAAAAGAGCAACACATATTTGGTTGTTAGCGAAAATTTCCATGTAAGGAAAACGCTGCAGTATTAGCCTTTTGATCCTATTTTGGCCACATTTTGACGATATTTCACGTTGTTTACAATTTTGAGATGATCAGTTGCGTTCAGTTTGTTGGTACAAATCATATTCATCGGTGTACATTAACATTTTGACCACAAATTTTAAATTTCTGATGTGTGGCCATAATAGGAACCATAGCAAGCTTTTGACATCGTTAATTGTTGATTTTTGCTAGTAGGGGAAATGTCGGCTTCGGCAATACCTTAAACTTTTATCGTTAGGAGGTTAACAAAGTCTTAAGGCACTCAAATTTGACAATAGATGCTCTGAAACACAATGTATCCATATGCCAAAATTGAGCTCTCACCGACGTTGGGAGGTAGACAATGATAGGTTAAGGTATTGCCGAAACCAACATTTCCCCTATTACATCGGTTCGGATTTCCTACTTTAATTTTAATTGGATCGTGTTTCAAGGTAAGGAGAAAAACTTTTTCATAACTCAACCGGTGTCCGAAAATAAATTTCTTTCAGCGGAATGGGAAAGACGGTAAAGAAACCCAAGAATGGAAGGTGCGGAGAAAACTCGATTCAGCTTTGTATTCAACGTATAAAAGATGACATACAGCGTGTAAGAAGTATGGTGTGCCGGTGTCAAAAATCCGGTATAGGATGAGCAGAAACTGATCAACGAAACCCAGACTTTTCTCTAAATGGATTTTGTTGAAATGTCAAGAGTGGTAATAGAGGAAATGGCTCTAATGTTGGCATATGGATCTAAGATTTGACCCATCGCTAAAAATCTGCTATTTATCAATTTTATCTAGATGAACGCGTCAATTTAGATATTTTGGTCACTATTGAAAATTTAGTCGATTGCTGAATTCATGCATGGGCCTTAATTAGGGGCATTTAGGCCAACATTACATCCATTTCCCCTACTTGATTAAATGTATGATATGAGTTTATTCGGCTCTTTCAGTCTGTACATGCAGCAAAAATGCTTTATTGCAGCAACTCTCCGAAGTTTCGGTGATTTTATTTCACCTTTTTCAATGAATTTCTTAAATATTAAATTGATTTAAAGAGATTTTCGAAAGTGTTGTCTGGGAGTTGTCGTTTGTGTTTTTTACAGATGATGCGTTTTCTTGTTATGTATATGTGTAGTTTTACATATATTCGTCTTTTGTTTGTAGAGTGGAACTGTGCTGCTTTTTACTTTCGAGATGTGTGGATTGTATTTACATGTATGACCTAACAGTGTATTGTGGACCAGTCCCACAATATGAGAAATTGGCTGATGGCCCTTATTACGAGTGTCACTTCACGGTGAAAACGAAGTGAAGTGACCACTTGTCACCCACGGTAAAGTGATTGCCGTGTAAATCAAATGGGAATCACTTCACCGTGTGTGACAAGTTGTCACTTCACCGTGAAGTGACATCGGAAACAAGGGTTAGCCTGAAACACTTTTTTTTTTTGAGAAGATGAACTAGCCATATGGCTAAAAATCTCTATAATAAAGGAAGAAAAACCTGAAACATTTTTATTGGTTTATAATAAGGTGTACTAGATAAATTTACCTTTTGAAATGTTCATATCTATATTTTACCATGCCGGAAACATGCCGTTGAATAAAAACGACGAAGAAACTATCAAGTTTCCTTAAATGCTTATTTTTAATCACAGTAGCAATTTTTTCCTTCACATTACAACATTTTCATTTTTTCATAAATTTGTCAAACGGTCATCTGTTTTGGCTAACGTACATACGTTCGCATTTATCGCGATGTGAATTCCTGCTATATATGGCTTTAAATTGTTTACAACAATACGGAACCACTAGTGAAATATTCAGATATCATCTGAAAGATCGCAGAACGTTTGTGCTACATTGTTAACAAAAGGAGTCAAACTTACACGTAAGCAACGTATAATTTAAAAAAATGTACCATTGTTGTGCCCCGGCAAAAATTGTATTGATATAATCTTACAACCCACGATGACAAATCTGACGAAGAATGATAAAATTGACATTTATATGTTTATTTTGAAATATTTACCATTCACATTCCCCCTTTCGATTTATTATACATAAATAAAGCTGTTATAAATAAATGAAAACAACCATTCCATAATACATTTTAATAAAAACTAGTGAAAAATATGTGAATCTTTAACATTTATTTAAAAAAATATGAAAGTTTAACAAAAAACAAGTTTTGAAACCTGAATTATCGGATTCACAACCTGATGCCTGTGACCATTTGACTATAAGACCGTCTTACTTAATGCTCATAAAATTCCCTAATAAAACACACTGGTTGCTGCGCTCGGTTTCAGGCTAATCATGCACATTAGACAATTTATCATTTATATTGCACATTAGCCATCTATTTTCAAAGTTTCATTTTGATTTGGAAATTTTCTGCAGAGGGAACTTGACAAGAGTGCCACCTATCAAGTAACACCATTTTATCGATTTTGACAAAAATGGCCTATTAGCCAATTTCTCATTTATGGGCAGTAGTAGTGGTGGTGATGCGTATTGTTTATCATATTTGTTTATAGTTTTTACTTTTCTCTGATCGAATGCTGTGTTTCATCAGGAGGGCTGCTTAGGATATCGCACCCATTCAAACACACATGGGCCAGGACCAACGGCTTTACTTCCCTTTCGAAGGAAGACGTGACCAACGATTTTTATGCCACCGACCTCAGCTGGGATTGATGTAATCTGTCGAGCGTGTTGTAGTGCGTTTTGTGACCGTACATTCTGGTTTCTAATTTGTTGGTGTTCATACCAATATAACAACGCACGGCAGTCTTTGCACGGAATTTGATAAACGACGTTTGTTGGTGTCCTGAAGGGAGCGGATCTTTGATATAGCTGAAAATTTCGTTGGTGGTGTGGATATTGCGGTTTTCCAGCTGTATGTTGGAGTATTCTTTTATCAGCTGTCTTTCGGTTCGATGTGAATGATTGGTATGTGAACTAACGATCATATGAATCGTACCAGTCTCACGCTCTCAAGGTTCGGTGATTAATTATATAGGAGAAATGGATGTAATGTCGGCCTAAATGCCCCTAATTTGGGCCCATACATAAATTCAGCAATATACTAAATTTTCAGTAGGGACCAAAAATATTAATTAGTACCGTCCCAATGACGCGGTAATTTAGATAAAATTGATAAATAGAAGATTTTCAGCGATGGGCCCAATCTTAGATCCATAGGCCAACATTAGAGCCATTTCCCTTATTCCAAACAAATATAAAATCTATTTATCATATCCAAGATATGTTGAACGCCGTTTTATGACACAATCGATGAAAATCATACAAATACTCTATCATCAACAACTACTTCAAATGTTATAAAAGAAGGCCCCAATGATGTAACCTAAACAAAACATGAAAAGTACTCAAACTAAACATCAATAAGTCAACAGTCATCTCGTAAAAAAAAAACTAAACTAATCTAGAAAAAACGAGCTAAATCTCCGGCGAAGCAGCAGGCAAGTCCTGTCAAAGTCAAATAGTGCGGAGACCCTATTGAAGAGTCTCTGTAAACTTGAATTGTCCCGTAGGGCTCTGTCAGTTTGCTCAAGAAGAACAGGGCAATCGGTGCGTCCTTGCAAAATGTCTGCAATTAGCAATGCCCTTGCTGTATCTCTTTGGATCGACAGGGGCTCCTGATGGATCAGTTGCAAACGACTTTCGTAGCTAGGCAATCGGAAGGGATCCGTCCACGGCAGTTTACGTAGCGCATATCTCAGGAACCGTCGCTGAACAGACTCGACTCATTCGACACCGTTGTTGTAGTGAGAAGTCCAGACAACCGAGCAGTATTCTAATATGGAGCAAGACAAGGAGCAGTACAAAGATTTAAGGCAGTAGATATCCGTGAATTCATTGGCATTCCTGAAGATAAACCCTAGAATTCTGGAAGCTTTGTCGACGGCATACGAAATGTGCTGCTTGAAAGAGAGTTGTGTATCCAGAATCACACCTAGATCCTTAATTTGGTTGACGCGCTCAATTTCAGTGCATAACAAAACACACTTGACCATAATAGACTCTTTCTTGCGCGAAAAAGAGATAACCGAGAATTTTGACGGGTTAACCTCCATATGATTCAGAATACACCAATCACCAAAAGCATGCAACTGACGTTGAAGGAAGCAACAGTCGTCAATTGAGTGAATTCGAAGGAAGAGTTTAAGGTCATCTGCGTAAGTGAATCGTGGTCCCTCAATTACTAGATACACGTCGTAGAAGTAAATCAGGAAAATCAGCGGTCCCAGGTGACTATCCTTGGGTATGCCGGACGTGGCAGTGAACATACGGTACTGGTGATCACCAATGACAACAGTAAGATAGCAATCAGTGAGGTACGACTGAAACCAAAGCAAAAGGCAGCCGTGGATACCAAGCCTGTCCAGTTTTGCGAAGT